CCAACATACAACCTTCTTGTTAAAGCATGAGTTTGCAAACACAGACTATGGTTTACTAAAATCCTTTTTGGAGATTTCTTGTTGTCGACACTGAGCTTGTTGCACGTGCAACTTGTGTGCATATATTCTGTAGGCATTTCCCCTCAGCATAGTCATTGCTTCGTACTCAGACTCTTTAATACTGATAGATCATGCCGAAGTCTCCGCGCATGCAGCTCTCTGTGGAAGCCTACATGAACGAACGACAGCACATTACTTTGGAGCTCATGGGCAATGTGTCTCAAAGCGCTTCTTCAGAGCCTACTTCTTTTCCTGATGCAGCTGACATCGTGGAAAACATTCACAATGGAACCATTGCTGTGCATAGTGACAGGGCGGCAGTCACCAAAAAGCAAATTCAGATCCAAATCAACACCATCAGACGCAACGCAGTCAACCAGGGAGCCCTGGCACAAGGTTCTGCTTGGTCGAGTCAATGCCAGACGGCGTTGATGTCTTGGTTACAAACCAAGAAAGATGGTCGTGCTCGCTCGGCATCAACTTCCCAAGGCAGTGTTCCAATGCTTGCTCTTCCTGCACCTGTTCCTCCTGCAGCAGATATGTCCATTGATGAGCACCAGGGCAATGGAGGTAATGGTTCTGATTCTACTTCTTCGGATTCATCATCGTCTTCTACATCAGATGAACAGGAGGCAACGCCAATGTCAACATCTGCACCCAAGGTTCCTTTGACCCAAGACGAACGCGTACTTCTTGAAGAATTGCTTGAAGCAGTCCATGTGCATCAAGACATTGAAGAAGAAAACGATCGTCTCCGGCATGAAAATGAACTTCTCAAGCAGGAACTTGCCCAACTGAAGCGCGCGCACTTCTTGTAGTTAGGAACTACTGTCTGACTGTCTGAGAAAATTAGTCAAAGCGCGCGCGGCCGAAACCATCACGGAACCAATACCAGATACCGTGAAAATCCGTGAAACCTCGATAGAAACAGCCAATAGGGCCCCAGTTCTTTTCGGAGGACACCTCCTCTTTGAATTGGCCACCGCTCTCTCCCGATTCTTCGGTCCGCTTCGTCTTCCGACGTCGTGTTGCCTGGCCCGCTTCAATGCCATAGCCACTGCAACTGGACCTGGACAGGTCGGGCCGGGTACATTCGATGTTGGTCGACCGCCCCCACCACAGGAATTAGGCATAAAGTCCGGAGTGTCGATCTGCTTTTGTTTTCTTTCTCCTTCGTCTAGACGTGCATCAACCCTCATGGACTATGATGACACCGAGGTGACAACGCGGTTCCATGCTGATCAGGCTTTGGGGTGACCGGTCTGAGCCCAGACATGACCATCATGACCTTTGTTTTGATAGGAAGTCTGACCATGACTCATTGACGGAAGACCATGTTTGACGTCACCGCGTGGCTCTCGGTGAAGCCACCGAACCGGTGGATTTCGCCGACGGAAACCACAGCATCCCAGTGGCTGTCGCATGGCACCACCTGGGTGTCACAGAAAAGCATCGCGATGCTTTTCGAGTCTAAAGACTTCAGACAAAAGATGACAAAACAACAAACCTGGCGCCGGCAGTTCTGGAATGGTTTTTAGTCCGACATTGCACCCTTATCCTTTAATAGGCACCCCTTAAAAAACTGGTGGTGCTTGGACTTATCGCAAGCCATTCCCAAAGGCACGCGTTGCGTGTGAAGTGGCAGGCCGTGCAATTCTGCTCGTGTTGGCATGCAATGGAGCAAACTTGACTCCTTCTGATCACCACCAACGGCGGCAAACGATGTTCAGAGCAGGGCTCGCGAAGAAACCGGCCAAGTTTTACTGCCTTTAGAGCGTCCGCATCAGTTTGCATCCCTGCCCTGCCATAAACCTTCTTTGCAATAGTTTGCAATAACTTGCAGTGGACACTTTGCGCAGTTGGGCAGGGTGGAGGTGGACATAATAGAATTTCCACTATCATGCCAGTGCCATGAGCGGGAAACAAATGGAAACAACGTGATGGCGCAACTCCCAGGTCGTGCACGTGCCCGTGCTCCCTCCGGGTCAACTGCAATGAGAGAAATAAGAAACGAAACCAACATCAAGTCTCCTTCTGCCTAAGTGAAAAACACCAAAGAACATAAAACAAACAACCCGCAACCGCAGCGAAGCTATGCTAAGCTAAATGCTTGAAAAGTCACTTGTAACCTGATACTTTTCGACATCAACCTCAGGAACGGACTGCATTGCGCCGCCAGAATCAGCTTTTCACAGGCCTCACGGCGTGGTTCGCCATGCGGGGCAACAGCGGTTCACCCGTTGCCACACTCCGCATGGACCGTGCCATCCCAAGAACCGCCGAAACTGGACGAGCCCAAGGATGCTGCGCCAGGAGCCCCGTTTGTAGCGTCCTTGGCCTTACCTTCTTTTTTGCCTAAATTCTCTTTGTTTGTGTTTTTTTGGTCTATGTTTTTTTGGTTCCCCTCACTGCCCTCACTGATCTCCTTTGTCTTCTCAGACTCAGGACCTGCCTTTCTCCTTTCTCCTGCCTTTTTCCCTCTCCGAAACCAGGCCCAGGCCACCGCGGGGGTTCGCCCCGCCTCTGGGCTCCAAAGGTCTGGAATCAGGAGCACCGCCCTGGGCGCCGAACCGGTGCGGTCGGTGCGGTCTGGCGAGAGACGGTGGTCGGCGGTCTCGGCCGAGGGGCGGGTCGGCGTGCAGGAGCAGCAGCGAATCCTTGGAAGTGGAAGTGATGATTCGATGGTGAAGATGGTGATGATGGGTCTGTGACACATCTACTCACCATGAGAAGATCTGATTCTATGGGATCACTATGGGTCCTATCTTTTTGGAGAAATCTTCAAACATCTTCAAAAGGAGCAGAACTCCCAGCCGTTGGGGTTCAAAATGTCTGCAGTGAAGCTGTCATCGGTGATGGCTCGGGTTGATGTCGGCTTTGGGAGTGCAAAAGGCTCGATCTCTTGGCGACCCGGTGCCGGTCTTTGGATGTAGGAGAGGGCTCGGGGAGAGTTCCCCGTGGTCGCTTGGCGACAAGCGACCCGAGCGACCCGAGTGACCACATGTGGAACCTGGCTGCGAATGATTACTCCCTCCTGAGCAAAAGCTCGAATTGGTCAAGGCAGTCCACCAAAGCAACAGGTTCGAAATGATTTCTCCGACACACAGCTCCACACGACAGTCGAGCTGTCTAAGTTACGGGAGTCCAGAGTTCCCACATATTCCTATACAAAATGAAGACTATGTCGTGTAGACTCTTGATCAATAACCACTCCATATTGTTGAAGAGGTTGTTCAATTCAATTGGGGGAGGGGTTTAAGATTGATTAATGCAAAGCTATGCAAAGCTTGGGTTTAAACATGCAAAGCTTGGGTTGACACCATCGCCGCCCTCCACACCCGGCGCCCTCGCCGCATCCGCTCGCCGGGCCTTGATGTCGGCAGACGGGCGGACGGCGACATGACTTCGCGTCACACGGGTGAGGACCTCCTCGAGGTCGCCCTCCTGGGACAACGAGACCGTGAGCATGGATAAATCCAGGGAGTCAATCAGACCTGGAGCCTCGTCAAGTACCTCGGAAAATGGGTACAGTCATGTACAGTCATACCTGTTTTTATAGGGCCATGTCCCATTTTCTAGAGTACTTCGGAGGGTCCAGATTCTAACTGCCCGCAAAAAAA